CGACCAGAGTCACCTGATGGAAGCAAACGAGCAGCACCTCGCTGCCAGACCCGGCACGGCTCCGTGCAGCCCCGGTGCGGTCAGGCTGGGGGAAGAGCCGCTCTGAAAGACAGCGGGAGCACCAGACGTGGCTTGAAATGAGCAGCGATGGCCTCAAGGGCTGACGTGATCCACGGAGGAAAGCAGGGAATGTCACACAAGAGCGGGAACGCTGCTGCGGCTATTGCAATGCCACTCCAGTTTGGCAAACGCAGGACGAGAGGGATGTACGGCTCTGCCGCGTGGCCCAGGAGGGATCTTGCTGCAGCACAAGGAGCCCACGGCTCTTCCCTGCTGCTCCCAGCATCCAGTGTCTGCAGGGCCATCAGAGGCGAGAAGGCAGGAGCCCACCAACACTTTACTTGGACGATAAAGAAGACAAAGGAGACTGGAAATAAAGTCTATGCTTTTAGCCCCGGGAACAGCCATCATGAGGTCTGGCCTCTCTGTCACCGGAGAGGTTCAGAGTTGGGATCAGAGAGCACACGCTTCAGAAAAGGCTAATTCAAAGCAGCACTGGGCAAGGGCGACCTTCCCATCTCTTATACGGCAGTGCAGCTTACAGAAACGGTCACAGGTCATTCCTTCCAACAACGCGGCCGGCACCACTTCCAAGCAGTTATTAAGAAAAAAAAAAGGAAAAATACTGCTAGCTCAGAAACCTGTGTTTTAAGTCCAACTCACAGCAGCATTTGCCCGTTGTGAAAGGCGCCCGAGGAACCTGCACACAAGCTGCAAATTACAGCGTAATACACGCCGTTATTAATAGCAACCTCCAGCAAGCCACGAATTCATCGCTAAATCCTGCAGGGAAATCTGTTCCAGTATAACCACCCCTTTGTGTTTAGGCACTCATTATGCTATGGCTATTGCGCTGGCCCTCGCAGCTCTGAGCGGCAGGAGGGGAGTCGGTGGCATTTGCCTCCCTCCGGCCGCAGTTTTATTCCCTCCCCAGCGAGCCCAAGCTGCAGACCCACAAGAGGGCGGTCGGAGTTGCATTTTTCCCTTCGACTACATCATTTTCCACCTTAGCATCCTGGGGAGGCTCACCACAAAGTCGCTTTTCATCTTCTGTGGCCACTCACAGCTACTTTCTGAAGGGAACGTAATTGGTGTTATCGTATGCCACGATATATACAGATAACAGAAAACGTTTGCCGCAGATGAGAAGCTATTTATCAGTCACAGTCCCTGGGATGTTTGGGGTATGTGGGGCAGCCTGTTTTACAGCTGCATCAGCCAGCAGGCCCCAGATCACATGGCTGGTCACGCTGGTGTTTGTAGGATCAGGGTGTCCACAGAGTCGATGCTGGGTTTTTAAAGACAGAAGCTGCTTTCTCCTTTTTTTTTTTTTTGAGAAAATTCAAAGCCATCATATTAAAAATAGATAAAAAATATTAGACAAAATTAAATCCATCTGAGCTCAAGAGAAATGTTACACCATTATCAGTGTTGAACTCAGCTGTAAGACCATGGTCACTACCACCACAAGTTTCACTCAGACCTAGATACTATCATTAGTATTATATAGCTGTGTCTTTGACAGCTTTTGAAATTTCCTTACCTCCCGTTTCCACTTCCCTCGCTTTTTTTATTCCTCCAAAACAGAGGCCACACAGTGCTGCTTTCCCCTTCTCCTGCACAGCACAGCCCAGCCCGTGGGTACAGCAGCTTTCCATCTGTTCTCCTCTCCAGTTCCTCCACCCATCCCATCTCTGCTCTCCCTCCTGCCTGTTCACCTTCTCTTGTCTGCTCCTTACCTCCTCATCCTCCTGTGCATCTCTCCTCAAAACCCCATCTTCCCTCATGTGCATACAGCTTAACGCCCCCCTTGCCTCTCCCAGCATGGTGCCATCTCCCCTTACCTCCAAATACTTTGCACTTCCACTGACTGGAGTTGCTTTCCTCCAAGTCCACCCAAGATCCTTTCCAACTTGGCTTTGTTTTGTGTTTTAGATACCTTCTGCAACCAATCAAAGAAAATTTTTTTTTTTTTTTTTTTAAGAAAATACAGCATTGGGAAGGCCAGTCTATACAAACCATTCAAAAGCAACTAAAAAGGCAGCAAAAAAAGGTTTCTCCTCTGCATTTGACCCTACAGAAGCGACAACTGCAAACTCCTTTTCATAACACTGTATCATGCCAAGAAGCATCAGAAAACAGCAGCCAAAGAGTCACAATCTTTTGCTTACGCAGGAACCTGGGGCTCTCCGGACTGCCCAAAGCAGGAGGAGATACTCACCGCAGTCATACCGCGGAGGGGACCTACATAAAACCTCCTCGTTTCAGCTGGGGGGACAGCGAAGCTTCTGCCATTTAAAGGGAGACATTTCCCAGTCTACCACCGCTGCAGCAAGCACCCTGCCCTCCCCAGTGGCCACCCACTAGAGGGAAGCAGCTCACACAAGTTACTCTCCTGCAGTGCCAAGGTCTCTGCAGGAGCTGGATCAAGAATGCGCATCCTTCGCAAGATAGCCCTGCCCTGAGAAACCCCAGCTCTGCTGGGGAAGCAGGAGGGAACCTGCCAGGCCGGAGCACTCAAACTGCAGGGCTTAGAGCAGACATTAACTGAGTGACAGCAGCAAAGGCGACCGCTTTTGCTGGTGGTACACCAAGTATCCTATACTTGGATTTGGCACCAAAGCCTATGCTCCCGTTTTACTAGCTCTCATTCCACCTAGTTCCTTTGTTTGCGTTATTTCCACGGCAGCCCTGTACCAGGACTTTCATTACACAGATCGTGCCTCCCCACAGAGCTCTGGGAGCAAATGCAGGACAGAGGCACCAGAGATGTGCAGAACAGGAGGGCATAAGGAAACATAAATTAGGTCCCCGCCTTGCCATCGCACAGCAAGCGTGGGGAATTAAGATGACTTCCTTCCCTGTAATCCTTTAGGGGACATTTGAAAGTGTTTCTCGTTGTTTCAACTAAAATGCACGGAAGAATTTCAGTGGTAGAGAGAATCATACAGGGAAATACAGTCTCTCCCAGGACGCAGTGCTCACAGCCCAACCGGCCACTCTGGGACTTCAGCCTTGCTCCAGTGGCTCTGTCATGGGTTTGGCCACAGCTGCCACTTCCCTCTGGCTCACCTGCACAAGGCGACCTCCTCAGCGTGGACTTGAGCTCCGAGACTTGCTCTGCACTTGCCAAGGTAGTCCCTGCACACAGCTGCTAGGTTAACTCTGCTTTGGCTGACATGCCAGAAACTGAAATAATACATTTGAAAAAAAAAGTAAGAGTTCATAAAAATACTTTTATCTTTCCATTTCAGCTGGCTCCCTTACCCTAGCTACATTTCAGGAGCAGGCAACAGTAGCAACTAAAACGTACTGACAAGTCAAGGTCCTGCTAGCAATGAGGAAGGTCAGGGATAGCATGAGTGGTGATAATCCACCCAGCAAAGCTTCCTGGGATGGAAGTGACAGCTCCATCAGCAAAGCAGATGATCCATGTGGGTAAACTCTTTCATATACACCATTTTGTCCAGATTAAGTTAAAATGGTCTACCTACCTGCTATTATCCTCAAGGTCTTCCACCAATTTTTGATGTTTACTGGATAATTGAAGGAAGCTCGTTGAGGCAAAGTGGATCGAGTTACAGACATTAAATCTGCACTGTAACTGGAAAAATGCATGCTTCACAAGTGTGCATTTGTCATGTGGACTTTATTAACCACATGGAAACAGCCATTAAGTAGATGGTTTCCCCTTAAAAAGTTAAAAAGCTAGAAGACGGGGAGAAACCTCCACTGTTTGCTAAGATCCACAACTACACAGACCTCACGCAATGCTTTTCTGGAAACAGCAGAAGTAAAAGAAATACAGTTATTGCAAATTATCCTTAAGTCAACTTTCACTCAATTTCTGTCAAACAACACAAACCCTTTTCAAATGCATCTTCTCTTACCTAGATGAAGACACACATGAAATTCAGACAGCTAGTGCTGTTTGGGCAAAAGCAAAGCAGGAATCAAAGCTGGCTTGTAACAAGCATCTAATTTTGGCCTTAGCACTATGCTCTTCACCTAAAAGGCAAATCAGCTAGTTGTGCACAATTTACTAAAATTTTAAACGCAAGTTTGGAGGCCATTTGAGAGCTAAGATGGACAAGAACCAATTTCAAGAAATTGAACAGCAGTTGTCAGAATTGGGAAGACAGCATTTTTACAAAAAAACAACATAACAAAAATATCAAAGAGCAATTTTATTTAGCTTATTTGGCACAAAACTTACAAGAACAGTTTTGTTCCCTTCTTAAATTTAGTACAACTAGTGAGGAAAAAAAGGCATACTAATACATTTAATAAGCTGTACAGCAAGTGAAATGTGGAAAGAGGCACCAGAAAGATTTACCAAAAATCAAAGTGCATGAAAAATACCTACTCTAAGCGCCTCATGGTATTGTATTAAGGCACCACTCCTTTAGAAGGTTTACTGAATACATCAAGTGTGCAACTTCTTGGTTTGGAATGTAAGAGTCCTTCAGCCTGTATCGGAACTGGATACTGCAACCTCTGAACAGAGCACTTCTCCTTGTAAATGTTAAATGGAGACACCTCTTTCTGCCCAACATCATCTCTCAGCCAGGAGTGTCACTGTCATATGCTTTGAAAAAGCCAACACAGGTTATCAGAGTGACCAGCATTTTACTTCAGAGTTTTAAGCTGTAGTGTACACCAGGCCTACAAATTCTTTACAATGGTTTTATAGAAAAGAAATGCTGCAGAGACAAAAGTAACATGGGACATATCAGTAACTACATTTAGATAATTTATCAAAATAATCTTTAAGGACTTCCTGGAGTATCTATTTAAAAAAATTAAAAAAAAAAAAAAAAGAATCAAAATCTGAGTAGTGTTATAATCCAGAATAATTAAATACACTTTTCAACAGAATATTACAAAGCTTCCTTCAGGACTAGCAATCAAGTTTGACAAATTCCACAAGACTTCAGGAACTTTAATTAAGTATGTAGAAAAAGCCCAATATTAGACAGTGGTTAAGGGTTTTTCATAACTGGAAACATTTAATGTAAGTATCTGTAACTACAAATCATGTTACCCTGGTGTATATATATGCACATATATATATACACACACACACACACTGAAACATCATTACAAGAGCCAAATACACACCTTGGTTCATTGTGGATTCTGCACATCACTGCTGTTAAGTACTACAGAAGTTGCACGAGGTTTTTTATTTCAGCATCTTCATTAAGAACTATTCTTTCAAGAACTAAACTGCTTCAGTTACAAGAAGAGGTACCACAGGCCAGATTCACATCTAGCGTAAACAGGTTCCAAACAACCAAACAGAAGTTGCATCTGCTTCTTACCAGCTTTGACTTTGGTTTTGCTGCTCAGCTGGATCACCAGTCTCCTTTACTTGCAGGAAGAAGTTTGATAAGAAATCAATGCCCATATCAAAACTTAAGTGGGAACCAGTAAATGCAGAATATTGTATCAAACCATTATACAACACCTCTACTGTAGAGTTTCAAACATCTCAGGAGCTTGAGACTGCTTAACCTGAACTCTGGAAAAACACATTTCCCTATGGACAGGCAAAGGCATTTAAATATGAACCCTAGGCGTTACAGTATTTCATTTTTTGTCCTCTTACAGTGTAGACCTCAAGAACACAACTGTGTGTCCCATTATAAAACCAAAGCACCCTTGAGCATTAAAAATTCTAAACAGCAAGGACTGAAAAGAAGGGCATCTGGAAGTGATCTACACATTACAGAGCATGGTGTTTCACAAGTCTCAGAACAGTTCAGTTCATACTTTCTGGGATAACTTTCCCTATACCTTTGCCCCAATACAGAGCTGTAGTTTTCAGTAACTCTTTTACCCCTGAATTATTTGCTACCTCATATAAAACATGCCACAGAAGTGGCAGTTGGGGCTAAACATTTAATAACATGTCCTTTTTGTCCTTTATTAACAATTACAATCAGCAGAAAGAAAAACTATTCACTCAACTCATTTATTTCATGATTTATATGTAAGTCATGTAGCAACTTAACATTGGTGTTATACATTTGTGCTTCCGTTCTCGGGCACTTGGAGGAGGAATTCATTTCCAGATAATCACATCTTGCTGAAGCATTCCTTTGCATTTGTCCAAACTTGAATTCCCTTTAAAAAAAAAAGTTAAAAATCAATAGGCGGAAATACACTTTATTTGCAAACCTCACCAACAGACTTTCTTCCACAGAAGACTCTACAAAAAAGGTCCCACAGAACTTCACGCTAGAATAAGGCAGAGACCACACTGGAATTGGACCACACTGCCTATTGCACATATATATCAACATTAACATGTCACTGAGTTAGAGCAGGATGGAATATGTGGGAGGTTTTACGCTAGTGACTTCCAACCTTCTGTGACTGCCACGTTCCTAGTTATTGAAAGCTTGCATCTGATCCCCTGCTGATACGATAAATACACTAGCCTGGCCTTTCACAAGCTAAACGTACCTTTTTGCACATGCTAATCTGCATAACAGCATAGCTTATAAGCGCCTCCTTCAAATCGTGATTCTTTTGCTCTTTAAACCGTTCAATGTCAGCCCAGGCACTTTTCACAAAGTCTCTGGAATTAAAAGCAATATTTCTGTTAGTAAGTGTTTTACATGTTTGATCCTCAGCTCATCTTCCTTCCTCTGGACCCTCAGCAGAGGAACTATGTATGACAAAGCGCTCCATCTTTCAGTCAGTAAACCAAGTCCTGTAATTATTATGCATCCCAAAGCATCCAGATTTTGTAACTGGCACTACCACCTAATTCTCCATCTTCTTCTTCAGGTTTTCAAACTAGAGCATCAGTTTCACAGGATGTGTTGGGTTGTTTGGTTGGTTTGGTGGTTGGGTTTTTTTTTCCCCAGTCAGCATCACTGCCATAGAACCAGCATAATTTCGAATACACTTTTTTCCACAGAGTCTGTTGAGGTAACTAACTATCTTTATGCTAACATTCAGCACACAACATTGCACGTTTCTTTTTCAATTGTCAAGTCAGAATCTTCATCTTTCCAAAGTGAAAACTCAGTTGTCATCAGGATTTGAGACACTCAAGTACAACAGGCATTTACAATGCAAATTTGACTTGGACAATTCACTTCAGGAATTAATTTTGTTGGTTTGTTGATGTGTCTTCAGGTCTCCTTAACTAAAATGGAGGTAGGTTTCTGTAATTCATAGCTTTCATTTGTGCTGGACTATGCATACAAGGCAAGTATTCACTTGAAAATTGCTTCCAGAGCTACAAAAGCACATCTCCAGTACTTCTGTCAAAATGATTAAGAAATTGCATTTACTGAGTGTCTTGTTGTTTTGAACTATTCATGAACTAGTCTTATCTTTCCAGCCCTATTCCTAACATATTAGGAGATACCACATTTACCCCTTGTGTTATACGATGAACGTGTTCTGACACAATCACATTGCTTTAGGAATGTTAGTTCCTATTTTTCATGCTTGCATTCCCGAAGAAAATTTCATTAGAGCACTGAGAAGCAGTTATTCAAACACAACTCGCCAGAACTTCGAATCTCTTTTGAACAGGAGTCAGTTGTCCCCCGTATGAGAAGATGCAGAACATGAGCTCAGGACCCATACACATAAACCAAACTAAATACTGTATTTGAAGCAAATCAGCTTTTGAGTCTTAAGGCTATTCAGCTGCAGACCTACAAGCCCACCTGCTAAACATATTACTAGCTGAACACAAAAGCATGCAAGTCAGCCATTAGAGTGGGCTCAGTAACTGGGAAAGTCATCAGGTTTTACATAAGCCATACACTCAGACCAGAAGCTAACTGCATGTACCGTACTTTATTTCACAACTTGCAGCTGACAGGAGCTTTTATAGACAGCTCATAAACACCAAGAATATATTAAAAACACTTATAAAATGCAAACACCTTCAAGAGCATCCAGTCAAGGACTTTTGCTAAGACAAGCCCTGTGTTTTCTTTGAAAAAGTCAAGCCCGTTTACCTGCCCTCCAGATTTTTAGACTTAAGTTGTTCTTCTCCTTCCTGTATCTGCTCTTCTAGAACCTTTATCTTGGCTTCCCTCTGCTCAGGGGTTTCCTGCCCAAAGAGCTTGCTGGTCATCCCTTTCAGGGAGAATGTTCTCACAGTCTACAAAAAACAAAGACACTCTAGGTTTGGGATTCCTGAGCACAGCCACAGCCAGAAGACATTATTCCAGATTTTTATCAGCATTTGGGCTTATTCTTACTATTCAGCTGAATTTTTGCTTTAACTTCCATTTTGTGAATGAGATTTTCATTAATTGATAGGTAGCTATGGGAGGTATGGTGGCTCACATTAGAACGAGCAAAATGGGAAGTAATTTGATGTGCAAACTCTTTAAGGCTGGTCTGTGGATTTGACTATAAGTGAGTCATTCCACTGATATGGGTAACCTTTCAGAGCAGTCTTCCTACTGAAGTAGGAAAGAAACTAAGTCTTGTGTTCTGTATGAGAAAGAAAAGCCATAAAGTAGTTCTGTATAGAACATCAATAGATCCAACAGCAATATTAAGAATTCTACACTTTAAGTCACCACTTTCAGATAATGTTTTAAGTAACATTATCTTCCATATAAAAGGGGCTAACACCACATATCAATAACATCCTCCTTTCAAAAGGCAGAGGAAGCCTTTCAGAATTCCAGACGTTTTGACCTTTAGGATAGAGTTGTTTGTGTTATCCTGCTCAAGTCATACTTCCTGCAACCCTTTACTTGCTCAGTATTCGATAAAAGAAGTTTGGTACAAACAGCTTATGTCACCAAGAACCAAGTTACTTTAAACCTCAGATGCTTACAGCTCATATGATACCGCTTCTCATAAGCGGTGGCCAGCATGTTAGTGCCATTTAAATGCCATTCTAAGTAACTTGGCTCAAATAAAAAATAAATTAAAAAAAAAAAAAAAAAAAAAAAAAAAAAGAAAAAAGAAAAGAGGCATCTTGGAAAAGAAAGTGGAAAAAGACTCACTCCTGTTGCCAGCTCCTCACACTGCTGTTTCTTAGATGTTAGGTCCTGTGCAGCCATTTCCAAGTCATATTGCATTAGTTCATGTTTCCTGCAAACTGCCCTGAAAAGTAAGCAATGAAAGATCTGTCACATAATACTTTGTTTTGCTATGTTTCCCTCCATTTAAACTTTACAAATGGCATCAGGCTTTTTTTTTTTTTTTTTTTTGGCAGGCTGCACATTCAGTTATTCATCTAGCTCAAATTCAACAGCCTTATCAAAGAATGCATAACTCTGCAAATGCTGTAGTTAAGCAAACTTGGATCAAAGTATAAAGAAAGTTCTTAGTACAGCAGTGTTCTGCTCCTCTTTTTAGACTCAATCCAAGACACTCTCAGCAATACAAGCGCTACCACCTACTTAAGGACACCACTGTAAAATAGTTGTATTCAAAATACATTACAGAAAAATCACAACTATGACAAAAGGTACCTGGACAGGGCACCTGTCACAGCAGCAACGTATCAGTCAATCATAAAATTCTTCACATTTTATTTTTTTTAAACAATGAAACAAGAAGCCATGCTCCTAGATTCATATAGTGCTTTTCATCTGGAAAAGAGGAGAGTTTCCTCTGGCCACCTGCAGTAAGTCCCAGTTCTGTGTGGGCTGACAATGCTACATCCATACTCCACTGCCGGATGCACGTTTGTCTCCCAGGAGAAGCTACTAGTGCTCTGGGTTCCCACACAGCAGCAGTCACACTCACCAACCCGCTTCTCTACAGCACTACTGACCTCTCCAAGAGGTTCAGAGCCAGGCTGTGGAAAGCACAATAGCTTTAGGTGCAATCTTACAGCATAAAGCAATTTGCTTTTGTATCTACACTTGTAAGGGTGGACTGCCCTATAAATGCTAATGTTGAAAATAAAAAAAAAAAAAAATAAAAAAAAATCGGTATTTAGATGCACAATACTGTAGAGCAGATGAAAGTTAGATACAGCACTTTGAAACTTGCTGGAATCTGTAATGGCTGTAGCAGCTCTGTTTGGCCTATCTCATTTGAAAGCTGAAGCTTTCAGCACACTGGGGCACTATTATACCAGAAGCCAAAGAAACAGTGTAACCAGAGGAATGAACAGCAGTACCTTTCACAGAATACAGATTTAACATTTCTGTCATTTCACTATTGATCAGCTCAGTTCTAATTTGTATTGCCACCCACATGGCAATCAAATATGAGAAAGCAAAATAACAGGTGAGAACATGGAGATTCCACAACATTGAAATTTCCACTTCTTGGAAAACAGAAGATGATACCAAACTAAATTCAACATCAACACAATGTTAGAAGAAAGGACTACAGCTTCCGTTTGAGCTATACACTTTTGTACATACCGTAGTGCTTCTGCATAGAAGAGATATTCTTTCAGCTGATCTGCATAATGTTCCTCTTCTTCCAGTATGTCATCAATAGAAGCTGCATATCTGGTAAAAAACAGCCATGGTTAAATATAAAGTTCCTTAATTTAACCTTTAAGGATTACACATACAGTAACAAGGGAGGACACCTGTTTGACAGAAATACCAGTCACAAAGTAAAACAGTGAAAGGCACTTCCAAAAAGGGTTTTTCCTTTGTTTTTAATTAAACTCTGCATCAGCTAATATAAACATTCCTGCAGGCCTGTTTCTTTGGTTGTTACTACAATGAATCTTTTGACAAGTACAAGATCTATCACAAGCTTCCTGCTGAAGATGAGGCAGCTTTTCTTACAGGAAAAGAAAAATAATTCATGCCTTTTCTTCAGTGGACTGTCAATAGGCAGCACCAAGGCAAAAAAGACATGGTGCAGAAGAAATCCTGCAAGGCTTAAAGCATTAAGGCATAGGAACATGAACATCATACCTTCTGAAAAGCAAACAGGCTGCTTTCATTGTTCGTTATTCAGCCTGAGTACAAGAGAACTCACAGTGGTGCTCTGAACACCACGACATTAAGTCCTTCAGCTCCTTGAAAGTCTGTTGCTTTGTCTGCTGTGTAAGTCGGGCATATCAATTCAGAGCAACAAGAAGTTTAAGCCTTCCTTTTAGGGAGAAATCTGAAGTACAAAGGCTTGGACCAGCTCCGCGGCTCTTACATTCAGTAAGAGTTTTGTCATTTAGGCTGACATTTCCTAAAAATGGCAAAAAGCACTTTCTTTTTCTAGTTTGTGTTGCTTATTGGACAGTATTTAATAGGTTCTCACTAACCAAGACGACTGTGCTTGGACACACTTGCAGGGACAGGCCTACAACTAAGAGGTAACTGCACATCTCACTTGGCACAGTGACAGAAATAGGATGCCACTTTAGCCCGCAATACAGGGCATGTGCCACTGGAGATAAACAGAATGAATGAGATCCCATCACAAATGTCTTCACCTATTCTGCTAACTCAGTCTGGATTCTCAAGTATGTGGCAATCTCTTGCACAGCTGCAGGCTCTCTGAAGCAAGCATATGTCCATGCTTGTCTAGTGACCAGCACAATGCAACCCAAATGTTAATTACAGTACCTCTTGGCTTTAAACTTTTTGCAAAGCCTTTCAGTTTCTCTCTTTCTTCCTGTGCCTCTCCAGTAACTGGCTCTATGGAAGAAGTAGCAGAGTCTCAAGCTGAAAGGGAGCTGGTAACATGACTTGGGAGAGAACAAGAAATCCCTCCTGCAAGCTCTAAAAGAAACAACAAGGTCATTTAGACCCCTTGGAATCTAAGGGAGGTATCCGAGGGAGACGCTCCTGCTGAAAGTTATCATCCTCAGGCCTGCTCAGTAAGGGCATGCGAACTAAGGCTCTTTAAAGAGGAAGCAGCTACTTGCAGAGTAACTGGAAGAATGGGAAGACTGGGGAAGAGCTATAGACATGCCCATCTGTTCATGAATTTTGTCAGTTTGCAAGCAAGACGAGTTGTTTTGATGCTCTACAAAATCAAAGACATGGCACATCCAGGAAAAGCCCTACCAAGGCTATTGGTGATAAATAAGCATAACATATGAAGTGACCAGCAACAGCAGATCAGTTTAAGTAGAAGGGACAAAAGAACAGACAGAACAAGAATTCACATTATGAATCAAAGTAAGGAATAAGTCTGAACTGTTGAAAAATATACTTGTTCTGAAAAAATCCTGCAGCCACACAGGTCGTAAGTGGTTTACCCTCTCTATTTTTAAGTTCTGAAGTGCAATAATTTTAGTATAGTGGTTAGATTTCTCAGGGCAGCAGGTGGACCACATTTCAGTTACAAGTAAGTTCTAAGTTTAGAGCAGTGCTAGACCTTATCTGTGGCAGAACAACTCTCCAAAAAAACAAACAAAAAGAACACCTAACAAAAACCCACCTTACCTAGACAGGGTTTTCATAATAACACTTAAAAGTTCGATTTGAAAAAAAAAAGTAGTATGACAAGCTATATTTTTGACTGCTTAAGCTGAAGTTTAAATACTGGTTTGTACTAAGCAGGTAGGCAAACCAGAAAAAATCTTAAGGAGAAACACTGCAGTTAAGTTCTAAAGGTACCCAACAAGTTCCCACTCTTCATGGGAATTGTCAAGTAAACCCCTGGTTTAGTTTAGACTGGTTCCACCTGTAATGACAGTCTAGTTGATCCACAGATAAAGGGTCACTCATTAATAGTATAAAGGACAGAAGTCAAAGGTCTGGCATTTTTTTCTTTCGTCTTTTAAATGCTAGAATTACAGCCATTCACTTGAGCTTTCTCAGCATACTCTGTTGCTTTCTATCACTTTAGCAAGTCTCATGCTGTTATACAGCAAACACCCAGAGAAGCTTTGGGATGTCTTCTCCAAATATTAAGCAGTTTTAGATCATACTAAACAATAACAACTCAAAAGTTTAAATAAACATTTAATAAAGACTACAGCATATGGGGCAGATAAAGAATAATTAAATTAGTCTTTAAGTTTAACATCTATATTAGGCAACCTTCTTGAAGTAGCTTTCTGTTGCAATTAACTCCTGTCTAATGTTATAGGAATAGTAACTGGACTGATAAGTTATACTTTCAAGAGATCATAGATATGAACCTTACTGGTAGGAGACCACATGGGTCACTGAATCAGTTCCTGAATCTCACAGCTGCTGCTTCTTGCTTGCTTGTCACTAAGAGATTATTGTTGTATGAGAGTGCCAGACCAAACAATGAAAGCTACCTCAGACTTCATGCAGTGATTAAAGTTACCCAGAAACTCACAGCCACCTCTCTGGATCTTTAACCCTAACTGTGTTACAGACAGAAATATTAAACGTCTCAGATGTGTGGAGAGGGCTCAGGCTCCTGAGAAGTGAGACCCACATTTTTCAGTTGGTTACACATTTCTAGGTGTTTGACATCTTAGTGTGGTGTATCTGAACAACTGAAAATGTACTTGTGCCTCCTTAACTCCTCTATATTATACCATGTTTTCATGATCTCTTCAATTTCTGCATACTGCAGTAGGTGCTTAACACTGTATTCTATCTTTACTTCAATTATTTTCTTCTGAAAGCAGAATGCATTCTCTATTTCTTTATTCTCAGAGCCCTATATCTAAAAAATACTCTACCTTTTTTTGGGTGCAAACCACCATGTTAGCCAAAACACAGAAGTGTGAATAAATTATCCAGAGGGGTTCAAATTCTTAAAGATCTGATAAAAAGCGAATTATTCTGAAGAAGATGAGGGCAGAGTTTGTCATGGCTCTTCAAACCCTTCCACTTGACAAGGCATAACACCAATAACAACCAAGCAGTGCTACATACGTAAATCTGCACTGTAAACTAAAACCGATAGCTTTACTTCCACACAAATTACACTTTATCAGTAAAAATACTGTATGAAGAAGTGTCATATAGCTTCCACCTCTTGCTGGAGTTGTTACTTATCTGTACTGCGCGATTCTAGAAGAAGAATCAGAGTGATGAGAAGTTATACTGTTTCACTTACTATATATGACTACCTGAAAAGCAGAAAGCATGAGCCTAGAATACCACTTTCTGTGAGCACTCTGAAGTGCTGGACTCTTATTTTGAAGGCTGTGCTTCATGTGCTCTGCCAACTGACTCTAAAGATGCAAAGAGGGAGGATTCTCAACTTTATTACACCCAGTCAGTATTTTTGCAAGAATCCATTGGAGTTTTGGTGCTGATTAATTAAATTTCTTAACTCTCTGTAATTAAGTCCAAATCTGTGTACCATCTACTGCATGGTACAAAATGCTGCTATCAAAACCAAACAGATCTTATCAGGTCTGCAGTACATTAAAGTTGTATTCCACCAGTTTCTGGCATAGTAGCTTAACAGAAAAACTGGAAGAATTCCAAACACTTCTACAATTTCAAAATAATAATAAAAAAAGAAACGCCTCCGGTTCTCCTGAGACCTTTTGAGCTACTTAATACAGTACATGGATGCTAAAATTGTGCCTGTATCCAAGTCACAGAAACACTGTATACCTAAAAACAACGCCCCCCCCAACTTTCTCAGTACTTTACTTGTTAGTACTTTGGGGTTGAGGGAAAAGAGAGGAAAGAAGGAGAATTCTACATCTGGCTTACATCAAACTATCAGATATTCAGTCAGTACTTACACATCCATGTGGTGGCCAGCACTCTGCAACCCATCCCCCATCTCCTTTTCTATTGCACTCCACTCACTGTAGGAAAAACAAACGAGAAACAACATCACACATGAAGGGTAAGGGAAGTTAATAAGCTGCATCCTGTATATAGTTTCCTTCCAGGTGACACCTGAATTGAAACCGCCTCAAAGTTAGACTTGGCCAAACTGTTGTCTTCCTCTAAGGAGCAGCACTGACAATGTAGCAAGGCTATTTACAGCACTCTGTTAAACAATTATCCCTGACACCTGAAGTCATCCTCATAAATATACTTAGTTTGGGATTGGTTTTGAGCAGAAAGAGTCGTGTTTAAATAGCTGAAAAATCAATTAAAAAATAAAAACAAAAAAAAAAAGCCCAAACCCAAAAAACCCCTAGCACTTAAAATAAATTGGGGAGTAGGGGGAAGGGAACTTTCTAAAACAGAATTTGGTCTAACATGCTCATCAAGAAGAAACCAAGCTTTCCAGACTTGCAACACATCAGATAGAAGCCTCTCATTCCGAAAAGCAGAAGGTGGGATTTGACATTTGCAAGCATTTTACTGCTCCTGAAACTGTTTGCTGTATGTTGCTTTCTGTTTTCATAGTAGACTGCTGTTTAGTTCTATTCATTAAAGAAATCTCAACTTACAACCCTCTCATTACTGCAACTACCTATTCACATTAGGGAGATAATTTAGATAAAGAAGGAAACAGAGCTACAATAAAGACAGCAAGAGACTTATTCTGGACATCCAAGTATGTACACTGCAACTTTAATGGTGTTCTTAGCTTCATGAAGCCTTATGAGATTTCTTAGTTACAAGAATTACATCCACAACGCTTTTTACAAGAAAAAAAGGAGGGGCTCCCCTTATATTTCACATAATTTATGTCTAACGCATCTATTCTGTCCTTCACTTTTTCATAAACATTCCACTCTGCTGATGTTGACATTTGTTTGTCTTTGTGTTATTACAGAACTACACCTAATTTCACTTTAAAACCCCCAATGAGAAAGACATCTGCAATCCATTAACCCAGAGAATTAAATTTAGCACTTGAACAGTGTGTAGAAGCAGGAGGTTTCCCTTAACCAGAAGTTTAGATTCTTTAATTCTCCAGCGAGATGGAAAACTTGAGCATGCAATTCACTCATATAAATCAAAAAATGATTGGCAAAATCACTTTTAAAAGGTACTAAAATTGGATATAGTTGTTGATTTTTAACCCTTAAAAGGGCCTAGAAGCTTTTCAGAGACAACGGCATGAAAATAGCTAGTAAGTTACTTCCTGAAGAAACAGAATGCCAATGCAACAACAAAAGTCCCAAAGGTCTGGAATACAAAACAAAAAGCTAAAGTCTTCCACTAGAGACTACGTTCAGCAGATCCAGAGATCACTAAATCCAACACAGAAGTCTCATAAGTACTGCAATACGAAGTTTTTCAAGGCAGACATTGAAATGTTTCAGATACACTTTTCAAAAGCATAACAACACAACCAACAAATTCTCTCTCTCTTTCTCTCCCCACATCGCTCTGTCTATGTGTATATTTAAAAACTGTATGAACTCTTACCTGAATACTCTTCCATAGTTGCCATGGACTTTATAGACACCATATAGCCGGTCTGCTACCCTCTAAAACATTTTAGAGTCAGGTTTTGATCATCAACATCAACTGCAATTGCTTTGTGAAAACCCAAATACAAACTTCAAGCTAAAGCCTTAATGTTTTTACAAAGGTAAACAAGATTAGGCCTAAATCTAATCTAAGCTACTATTAAAGGAAAAATCAACAGCATTAAGTCTTTGAACACTGAAGTCACAATCAAAGCTATATTGAAAAGTAACATTTCAAGTATTTCTTTGGAAGCGCTCATGTATAGGATATGCCTATGGAGACCACAAATAATCAAGTTACCTTCAGTTTTTGATAACCAGATGTAAGGCATAGCCTCCTTTACCCAAATAATGCCAAATTTATACATACCCTTGCTTATTTAACATAAAGATGGCAAGACAAAAGTCCATCCTGTCACCAAAACTGTAGGGAAAGCTTCAGTTAAATTCTAACAAGTGACTCAATTTTTCCATCCAGCTCAGTGAAATGAAGGAAAGGAAATGAGCTATCCATTGCAGAACTTATTGCTCAAGCTAGATAGGTCATTTCAGCTGTTTGGAGAGTCAGTACCTGCTGCAGCCAGCACTATGATGCTGGCAACAACCTCAGAAAAGACCACATGTACACTCTGAAGCGTGACTTGTAACCCAGATAATGCCCTTGTAATTGTGATGTACCAATAAATGAGATTGAAGTTCGGTAAGAGTTACCATTATTTGTCTGTCAAAGCAGTAAAAAGGAAACATAAGCAAATTGCTGAACAGATCTCACACATACACAGTCCTGAGAAAAAGGCAGTGTCAGTAGAACACCAGTGATTAATCCTCTCAAGAACGTCAGCTCCACAAGGCAATCCATTACTGTCCTCTCTGCTGCACAGTTTCCATCAAAAATTAAATTCTTGTTGAATATACTAAAAAGCAGTATCACGCTCCTTATTATCGGAATTGTAATTTCTTATTTCTTTTTGTGACTTTAGGAAAAAAAATTTCCATTCTCAACCCATAGAGTACCATCATGCATGACATTAATTGTTCTCATCATTAGAAAGAGCATTATTCATTACAGATTGAAGAACAAGCCAAAAAAAGAAAAAGTGTGCTGGGAAGCATACACAATTCATACTACAAGCTCTGGAAAACAAGGTATTAGATGTCTGACCAGAGAAACTGTGTTTTGGGGCCCTTCCCAGCCCAGCCATCCAGCAAAAGCAACTTGTCTGCTGAGTAGAGAGAAGCAGGCATCTCTATTTTCTTTAAAACACCTCCCTCTGATACATGACCATCAGGGGAGAGGACAGATTAGCAACATGCATGTGTTTGCTCCTCCAATGACTGTCAAACTCAACCATCATATTTGGAACTCTTTTCCCCCAAAATCTGTACTAAGTCAGCACACCCCCTCCACCATCTCCCTGCCCCATGCTCCAGAGCCAGACTCTCTTAGGCAAAACTGCCTGTACTCTAGAGCACATATACCAGTTCTCTTGACTAAACAAGAAATACTGCCTTAGAAATAAATTATACTATTTGTCACGACACACATGGGAAATACTTACAGCTCTGACTCGCAGAAGGTGTGATATGACAGACTGCAGTTCATCGCTATAGTGTTTTAGCTCAGTAAATCTCCTGGGAGCAGGAAACAGATAGTTCATCATTAGCCATCATGAAAGCAAGCTTTCACAGAATGCAAGATAGAGCCACAACGCTACAGCCAGGGAGACTGAGCCTGGATTATGTTGAGGTGGAATTAGTTGAAGACTCCTAAAGAAGTGACTACAGAGTTTAATTTCCCTGAAGCAAACAACCCAACACTTGCATAACTGCTACTTTTTATGTAAATTTTGAAGGTTCAGAACAATTTAAGAGCTAAATTTTTATGAAATATAAGTAGTTAACTGAAATTACTACATCACTGTGTTGGTTTTTTTTAAAAAATGGGATTTATAAAAGGCAAGCATAAGTGAATACGAAAGCTTCAAATATGTACAAAGCCAAAATCTGCTGAAGTATACGTACTTCTTAATACAAATGTGTTCACATATCCGACCTGCCAAAGATACTTTGCTTTCAAGCTACCATCTAGCCAGTTTTAAGCATAGCTCTTCAGAAGTTCAAGGAAGCATTCACAATTATCACAACGCCTCTAAGGCTAAGCTGTACGATAACCATTACCAGTTATGTACGAAACCCTATTGAGACCTGTACCTGCACAGGAGTCTCACACGGCTAAAAGCCATCAAGTCACTACAGCTTAGCAAGGTACCAGTCAGGTAACCCATCACAAGTGACCACGTGCACACTGCTGGCTTGCCCCTACTGAAGGAAAGAGGCAGTTTATCCATCAGCCCAGTTAAGCCCTGGTGGTAGTCCGAGTTGATACATTTAGCTCATGCTAATCACGAAGCAGAGGCAGCTGCCACAGCTTTGCTAGTGACAGGTAACCAATTAAGCCAGAGCAACAGCCACTTCTGTATACGTAGACCCTCACTACTAAACACAAGTCTAACTCATGACCTACTTTGGTACACAAGAACATACTTCATCCAGATGGGAAGCCAGGAACAGCTTTACCTAAATTACTAAACAATGATCTGAAAATAAATAAGTAACATGGAAGAACACAACTAGAATTCAGGAATGGGAGACTAAGATTAGCCTTCCAGGTTGATGTTCAAGCATAAAAAAGAAACAACTTCACCCCTCCTCCCACCACAGGCACACAGTTAGGCTTTGTATTTCAGAACAGTTTGTACCCAAGAGGTCTTATTGAAATGAGTCAGGTCACTTGGTTTGGGTGATCAAGTACAAAATTCCAGGGTTTTTCATTTAACACCTCTTCTTCCCCTGCCAGGAAGTCTTCCGCTAAAATATTCTCCTCCTTAAATTCAGGAAGTAGAAGCTTTATTACTATTTCTAATATTTTTGATCTCCAAGGATCATCTTTTATAAGATTATGACACACACAGGGTTAAAGTACATAAAAAGATTTAAAAGCCAGCAGAGAAACTGTATGGGAAAAATAAATATAGTCATTGATCTGCACAGTGGGGTTTAGAGAGCAATCTCTTCAGTTTACACTTTATAAAATATGCACCAGGGCTGCATGTCAGACAGCTGCAGACACGTACAGTGAAGATATTTGAAATAATTGAACTGAAAACAAAAGATTAAAAAGCATGCCTTCAGCTCAGGAAGACTCCTCTTTCCACTCCAGAAATTTATAATGAAAAGTTTTATTTATCCTGTTTTGTGGCAAGAAAGCTTTTAAGAATGCCATATTGCCTGAAGGCAAGAGTCAGGAACCAAAGAGGACCTTCAGTATCCTGGACTCCAGCAGCAATACATCTTCTCCCCATGCCAATTCCTCCTACATTAAAAAATAAAAGAATAATAAAAAAAATTACTACTTCAGAACTAAGCTGTCTTCTTTTTATTGTCTCAAAAAAGCATAAACCAAAGTGATGCTATTTTTTGCCCATCTTCTGTGAAGGTTGAAAATTTTACAAATATAATTTTTCAGGAAAAACTGTTTTTAAGAGACTGGTGGTGTTGCAGATCAAAGGTTTATTTCTTAAGTATTTACTCAAGTCCTACTCATTGCTCATGTAAAAATATTACATAATTATAAAGTAATTTCCAAACTAAGTTTGGTGAGGCACACAAAGGGATGTTTACTTTCCAGCGCATCGTAACAGTAGAAGTGTGAAACAAGACATAGTTTTGGCACTCAGTAACTGAGGCTTTTTTAAACTAGCACTTTTCACTTGGTTTTACTGGTTCTGCAACCATGGCCAACATGGTCTAGATATTTATTTGAGCTATTAAGTAGAACTTCAGACACAAATGAAGACCAGATCAGGTCACATTTCTGTAGGATCACCACCAGGTTTCTTCTCAAAAGTATCTTTTACAGTAATGGCAAAGAAGAAAATTTCATTTACAGTAGACAGCATTTCAATCTAAGTTATTTACTTTGTGCATTTGACTCAGCAGTACTCCTTCCTACATCAGGGAGGGCAATACCATTTTTTCTGTTTTGTGAAGTAAGATATTACAAGAACAGAACTGTTCACTAAACAACAAGCCACTTGTCCAACTAACCAGACAAAAAAAGGAGACTTACTTTTTTTATTTTATTTTATTCTGCCTTAGGAAAGGATTTAGTGTTTTCTAAAGAAACCTTTCACCAAGAAGAAAGCTACTGTTTTGATAAAGCACAGAAAGAGAACAAGAGGATGGGTGCCATGAGGCCAAATTAAAGAGGTCTGCAGTAGATACAAATTTACCTCCGAGTACCACATTTTTATCACCATATAATTCCACCAATAAAGATATTAATTGCTTCCCACAGAAGGAGGCTGAACTCCTAAAGCAGCATCATTTCAGCTGTTTAAAGCTCCTCACATTGCTCTAAGCTGAAGGGTGCAGCTCAACAGGACTACGACGCAATCCAGACTGGGAGTTGCAGCTATTCTTCACCTGAACCATTCCTGGTCCAGAAACCTGACTGCTGTGTGGAGTGTAGGCTTTCAGATCTTTTGTTTCAGCAAGGTGAGCTTGCTGAACCACTTTACCACCCAGTAACACAAGCACCAAAGGTAATGCAGAGGGGCAAGGCATCAAATTCCTGGCAGCTCAAGCTAAGTGTGCTAGGCAGAGCAAGGCGCTATTCCTCCTGTTAGTGTCACACATGCTATGCTAAAAGGCTCTCCCTGAATTAGAAAAAAGTACAAGTTATGTTCATCAGTTATTTATTTTACAACTTGTACCCAAAAGTTCAATTTGGAAGCTACCTAGCTGGCAGAATACAACTGAAAGCATGTGCCATATCTCTTAAAGTACTGTGAAGTCTCTACTGAGAGATAGATACTCAGGGACTGTTTTTGTTACATGCCTTTCCACATGTTTTCCTCATATTAACTGTTTTCCTGCCTTTTACCAAGTCACTTCTCACAACAGCTTTGCTTTCTGAAACATTAAGTTACCTCGAAAGATAACAGTATATTCCTCATCTCAGCCTTAACCAGCCTTGCCCACCTACACCTATAGGCAGACTACCAGCAAAGTCTCCCTCCCATGAAAGCAGGAAAAGCTAACTCCTACTAGCCACAGACAAAGGTGATGGAGGATGAAGCATTCAAACAAGGGGCCAATTCCACCTGTAACTATCAAGAGAATCGCTGTCTTTCCACCTCATTCGTCAACATTACCTTTTCTATTAAACCGTAAGTAAAAGCTTCCTTGCTGTCACAGAAGGCTGCAAAAGCAAACACAATAAAAAAGGACGGACTGGATCAATTCACAGATAAGTCTACAAAGAGGTTTAAAAAGGTATGTGCCCTCTAACATCCTTAATACAATAACCATAGATGCTAGGGAAGTACGAAGGGAACAGACAACAGAAAGCAGTCAGGCACGTGGATTCTCCCTAAATAGCATCTCTTATTGCCACTATTGGAGAGCAGATGAACCCAGAAGGGTACTTCATACAGGTCTCTGTTGCTTATTGATGGCAAACAGCAACATCTCTTGACTCTATTGCTGCACACTAATGTTTCTAACTATTGCAGAAGTAGAAGCTCTCATTTTACCGTCCTCACATCACCTAGGGTGTGATGAACCTCCCACTACACACACCCTTACACTTCTGACCAGTTTTTTAATCCAGCAGATTGCTCTGGTGCCTATCCCAGAGCCTCCTAAACTGCAACAGAGCTGAACTGACCTCCAGACTTCTAAAAGCATCTGTGAAAATTGGCAGCTTGAACAGAACTATGAACTGCAACACCAGGGTGCACGCATCCAGAATTGTACGCTAGCAAATTTTTGGAAAGACCTACTATCAATCTGTATTCTGTTCACGCTTGGAAAGACTTCTTTGCAAACAAATATTAAGAGGTTCTTTTTCTGGGTCCGTTGGTTTGGGGGGTTTTTTGTCCCTTCCTTTTCATCTAGCTAAAATGAAAGACTCATTTTGCCTGAAGTGATGGCATTCTTCTGAATGTTTCCTGCTCTTAAAAAACATGATTTATCAAACCTTTTCACACTACCTCCTTACTGGGCTTCTGTTAAGATTTGAAGTGCAGAAAGATAATTTTTCTTTTCTGAATTTATTCTAAGGAGATAGAATATTCTGTCATCTGAAGTTACAGTTGTAACTGAAAAAGGGAAAGAGATGGAAGAAGGATGTGGAATCTTACTTGTCTGGGTTTTTCACTCTGAATGTTGCATTAAGAGCTTTTAATCTGGAATCTGCCTGAAAAAAGGGGAAAAAAAGCTTTGTTAATTTAATGCAATTAAATTCCAGTGACAAAAAAATCTCAGCCTTCTGGCAGCACCATCAGAAAAAAATCCTGCCTTCCTGGCGTATTTAAATCTTCAAACATTGAACAAGTTGACATCAGCTGCCCTGCATGTCAGATTTTTTTATTAAAAAAGTCAAGAAACTAAGCTATTTTTGTGAACTAGGAAGTAAACAGCATCCACTAAAATTAAGCTGGTACAATTCAAATCCCACCAAAAAAAAGTCCCTTCTTAAAATGTTACACAAATCATGGAGTTAAGATACACAGCCCTACATTCTTTTTAGATGAAGCAATTAGGTAACATAAGACCATATGGACAAACTATTTTGTATTTTTCAAACCAAATAAAACCAGTGGTAGAGTGACCTCTATATGCTCTTTATTACTAGGAAAAGTTCCCCAGTGAAATCAAAATCTTATATATGGCGTTCCTTTATTTTATTACTTGCTTTACAGAAAATACGTAAATTGTATATCAGAATAGAGCTATTTTTAATACAGTGTTCTTTTCTGTATCATAACATATATAAATCTCTACAGAAGAAAGTTCAATACCTAATTAAAAAGGTAGTTGGCTACTTTACTTTTTGAGATGTTGGTTTACCAATGACTGCAACAGCCGTATGGGATCTCTGTAAGGAGTTTGTAGGGTTTTTTTAGTTTAATTGAAGATTAAACTGTCCAACAGGTATTTACTCTTAATAAGACACCAACACAGATGAGATATCCCAGCCTCATCCACAGAGGTCCCACATCACCACAACTTTTCATTTCTATATGGCATTTTACATACAGCTCACTCAGGGCTCACCTATACTGCACGAAAACTCCAACTCAGGGAAAATGGCTGGAGTTTACTTTTGATCAAAACATTCCTCTTTTAAGTGAAAGAGTAATAAATGAACACATCTTGTGAGGTGTATAGATTTCCTACAGTGTTCTCTTTTAGCTAACGGGCTGTGCAACGACTGTTAGCAGGAAGTTATTTCAGCAGCATTTGTTAGTGCTGGTGTATGACACAGGACTATTTTGTGCACTGTTACAGTCAACGTGGAGCTTGAAGAGCTATTTTGAATTTGACAGTGAAGGGAACACAGTGTTTTCCCAAACCAAGAATGGAGTCCTTCCTTTAGGGCCCTTTCAATAACTTCTACAGATGAGACAGGCACAGTTTGAGACTGTTCCACCTCCCACTGCATCGGGGCTGAGCAGAAAATATCTGTATTTGAGTATGACTGCAAGTTCCTTTCACCTGGAGCCACCTCCATATTTGGAGGACACTTAGGAAAGCATCCAAGTTGAGGGAAAAGCAGTTTCTTTCTTGCAACTAGGATGACAGGTACTTATGGAAATCTTGCTAACTTTAGCTATCCTTCTTCCGATCACTGAATGACCAGTACAAAACATAATCCACAAACCAAAAGGCAAATAAATGAAACGGGCAAGACTAAGACTGACTGATATTGGAAGAAAACAGGTTCATTGTTACTGCTATCTACAGCACTCCTCTAAGAATATCTTGCAAAGGGAAGACAAAGGCAGCATGGGGAAGCATGTCCCAAGATAGCACAAGGAACACAAAACACTGCAGTAACTCCAGCTCCCAGCCCAGGCTTTCTGTTTATTCAGAGTGCTCCATGGGCTTCTACGGCCTTGGATCTCCATTGCTTTATCCCCATGAGTCATTACACAAGCCAGTTAGATTTTAGATCATTGAGATGCACCTACATGTACTCCTCACACATTTTCTAACAGTACAAACACCACCTAGATACGCTGACATTAAATCAGAGTCCTTCCCTGTAAGTAGCCATTTCACAAAATACTGCATTGTTGTTCAAACAGCAGGCACCAAAGCCATTCAAGTTTGTTGGGACAGCATGCACATTCAACAGGTTTACACTTGAAAAGGATCACTTCCTACATTACAGTTACAGGGTAAGTTTTTGCCTTTTGTTACAGACACATGGAGTGCTCTGAAGGAAGAGTTCAGTACACAAGCACTGTCAGGCAGGAACCAAGATCCTGCCAATGCTCAACCGTCTAAGTAAGGTTATTTCCTTCTTGCTGTTAACAGCACAGTAACTCCCACACACCACTTTTGAGCATTTGCACCACACAGTTATGCTGTTAGATAAACGTCTGTCCAGTCTTAAACTTGATTTAAGACTAATACACACAAGCCTTTTTAGAGATGAACTCCCCATCAAATGAGGTACAGTCAAGGAGTTTTCAGATAGTTAATTCCTACTATGATCCTATAATCATTTAAGTAAACTAAAGAGAGAGGGGAATTTTCTCCTTCCTAAAGGAAGGGTTAAAATCCCAAGTGACAAATCCCTTAAAGAATAAAATTAAGTGCTGGAGGTGGGAGGGAAGGAAGGCATAATTTAATGATAAAGTTGGCAGAGTAAGCAAAGTTTCCAACATCAACATTCAACTATAACATGCTACACTGCATTAATGCCTAATTTAAAGTTTAGTTAGCCTGGTTCAAACCCTTTGAGACAAAAGACACATCCTGCTTTAATGCATCAGCAGCAGAGACAGCAGCAGCACATAAACCAGTGGTCTGATTCTAATCTAAGACATGTAGTGAATAGAGGTTTATCCTCCAGTGTAGTGCTAAATAACCTCCAATCCTGAGGGGTTTATACTTCAGATGTTGAATAAAGGAAAGATGCTTTTTCCCAGGCTTTTGCAAAAAGTTGTTTTTCTTTCCTAAGGAAACAGGGACTGTAAAAGGGAAACTATACATACAATCAAATCTAGAAGGAAAACAGGAATCGCTCATCTCTCATTTAATCTACAATATGGTTTCAGCTAGGCAAATATTCTCAGCATTCTGCTATGAGTTTTCGTCCATACACACACCACTGTGTGCACTCCTGAACATACCCTGCCAGTACAAACTTTCTGAACTCCTATGAGCGTAGGCTGAAATAAAGATGCGTTGACTAGGAAAACACAGCTTGAGAGTTTTACATTTTTTGCATTATGAATACAAGCAATATGCAAGCCCTACCATGATGGAAGAGAATTATTGTCAACTTAAGTTATCAACATTAAGTGTCAGTATTAAAGCCCCTTGGGCATTGAGGATAAGAGAACCAGTGATTTTCTTTAGCTCTCGCTATTCAGAGTAATTCTTCATAATCCACCTAGTTTTCAGTTGTGATTTCATGAGAGTTGCTCATGTTACAATGAAACAAAAGCTCAGTATTTGTCTCCATATAGTAACTTTTCCAGGCATAGCCCAGCAATCTATCAGCTTCTCACAGATTCTTGTCCTGCACAGACCCATGACCTTTGATCATTTATTCCTGCAAGTCTTCCACCAGTTTACCCAGCCATAAACTCACTGTTCTCAGTGGGGATAGTGCTACTTCAAGACACATTGTTAAACAGTTAGGGGCCACCAAATCCATCTGCCTTAGTCCCTTTCAGCAACTTATCCTTGTAGAGAAGTCCTACAGTTCAGACCCCTTTGCTTGCCTTTTCTTTTTTTGACACCTTGCACCTCTTACCAGGCTAAATCTGACACCCATCTTTAAAACGATGCTAAACTAACATCATACGTAAGTATTGCTATGGGCTCAAGTTCATTAGTTTTAAAGCTTATAAGGATCATAATTCCACATTACTACCAGAATTACAAGGTTAAGCATCAAACACAGGCACACATTAACAAGCCTGCTAGAGAACTTAACAACTGAAGTCTCACCTATTATAGGCTAAGAACACCACTGGTTTTTGTAGTTACAAGTATACATAAAGCAATGCCTTTAACTCATTCTAACAGCAAAAAGTCTTTCATAAATAGCCTAAAACAAGTTTCCTGGAGTATTTCTGTGTCACAGCAGTCATGAGACAAACAATTACAGTAATTACCTTTAGCTGAAATCCAGTCTCATTCACCATTTCCTTCCATCCACCCTCCTAAAAATACCAGAAAAGAATGTTCAGTCAGAGTGATTTAAGAGTGCCACAACTTTTGCAAGTCCCTGTATCAGTCCCTGTATCAGAAGAGCTTTTCCAGTAAGCCTGGGGCTGCCTCAGCTACCTTCCCCATGTCTTTTCAAGAATGTGGGTTAAGAATAACATGTCATTATGTTGTGCTTACACACTAACCTCCCCCCAAAAACTCTCTCCTCTTCACTACTCAATTACCTCATTCTATCAACTGGGGGCTGGAGCCGCACAGCTCTGTCTAAAGAAGTAGCTCAGCTCTTTAGAAAGAAGGGTAGTTATCACCTATTAGCTATTAGATTATCAGCAGCTCCAAGGACCTTTGCAGCTTGAGGCAAAGAGCAAACAGAGAACATACAGGTGACAACTGTGTACAGCACACATGCAATCACCTCGTTTATGTGTAGAGGTTGGTTGTCCACTGTTTTCAGTTTCCATACACTGGTTCCTCTACATACTATACTGTGCTGCAGTAAATATATCTGCTCAGTCTGCTGTTTGGGAATCTCTCATCAAAGCACAGAAAAAAAACCCACATCCAACATCTCCTGAAGTTGAAAACTGCAGAATGCAAAGCTTTAGCTGACAATTGGATCACAACTTCTGCGGTAATATATTGTACTGGTTTTGGACCATGACACATATGAATGGATCATGATTCAAACCGCAAAGCTAAAGAAATGGATATCCAAAAAGTGAATTGGAAGCCAGTACTGTCTCTGCAGCCAGCAGTATAGCATGCTAACTATTTCAGCTTTAGTCCTAGGGAAACTTTCCCAACATGCTGTTCCAAAGAGGTAGAAATTCTCTCTTAGGAGCCTTAAAACTAGACTGGAAAAAAGTCATAAGGTACATTAGAAGGCCAATTGTACAACTGCAGTGAGCTGTTAAGATTTTAGATGGACAAGCCTTTTCCACCTCAAGTTTATTCACGTTGTCTATCCTTCTTCTAGACACAGAACAAGCTATGGGTCAGTGGGAGGGAAGAAGAGCAAAAGAACATTATCTTAAATAATCACTAAAGAATGTATTTAGAAAGGACATCACTTTACTATACCTGCGTTAAAAATGAATAAAAGATTTTGTCTTGGCAAAGAACAGGATGTGAAGCCACACGTAACAAGAAGTTTTCCAAACCGATTCTTCTTCTTTCCACAAAATCTGGATCCATATTATCTGCTGATAGCTTATGCCAAACAAAGTCAGCCTATTTAAACAGAAGAATGTTAATAGTAAACAAATAACAAACAATACAAAGCAAGCCACAGCCTCAGCTTCCTTACCCTTTTTTCTGGCAAAGGTGGAACAACAATATGTGGATAGGTAACTGACAAATAATTCCTCAACAACTCAAATTCACTGTAACGTCGCCATAAGGAGTCCACTGGGGCACACTGTCCCTCACTCTGGGACTCAACAGCTCTGAAAAATAAAACAGCAAATTTGAGCATTAGTAAGCTATTGCCTTCTCCCTCATACCATCAGTACAATTATAGCAAAGGCCCTAAAGTTACTGCATAACTTGCCCATAATCTAAAGTAACCTTAATTAATTCCATGTCTACACATTTCATTTAAAAATATTTATAATTTCTGCCTGACTGTACTCAAATTTTTTAGGAACACAGGAAAAGTCAACACATTTTCATCACACCACAAACAAACAGGTAGGTCACAGTCAAGTCAATAGTCACACAAGTGACTTAGTTCACATCGCTACAGAATTAGACATATTTCGCTTGGAACAATGTTGGGCTGCAAGCCAGCACAATTTCATGAGCAGCTGAAGGATACAGAATATTACAAGAAGGAATTTACTATTCAATGGGAGAGTCTTCACTTCAGAGGATAAAAATTGTCTTGCCTGCAACAGCTAGAATAGTTAAAAATATAACTTGAAAAATATTAAGAAATTTTAAAGGATATTTTTAGAAAAATGTAGCAAGTTTCAAAGCACTTCAATTTTTTTTGTTCAAAGTGATATCTTTTTATATTTAAGGACTAAGGATATGTAGTTTAACAAACTAGCTAAAGATAGGGTAAGCAGGTACAAAATTGATGCAACTGAAAAATTTGTTGAAAACTTAAAGCCAACATCACCTAGCAAGGGCTTAAAGGATTTTATGTTACTATAAAAGGAGAAATCATGGAATATTATAGGATTGAAAAGTAACATAAAAACTTGAAAAAAGTCATCCTTCACACAAGACATTTAAAGCAACAGAAATACTGTGCAATATCATAAAATAAGCATCAGGTCACTAACACTTCTTGGTAGTTAGCATATGCCAGAATAAACACAGAGAGAGAATTCATATGAGGCACTTAACAGAAACCAGCGATGTCTATGTCTACCTTAGTTCTTATATTAAGTGACTAATTAGCACACAAAGCACTAGCATAAACCTACATGAAACAGTATTAACTATGTTATGAGATTATCACAGATTAGTTGAGGTTGGAAGGGACCTCTGCACATCTGTAGTCCAACTCCCTTGCTCAAAGCAGGTTGCTCAGAGCCACACCCAGAGCTGCTGCCTCTTGTCCTCTTCTGTGCATCACAGAAAGAGCCTGACTGCATCTTCTTTACCTCCCCCACCAGGTATTGATACACATTGCTAAGATACCCTGCGCTGACTCTTTCAGAGGCTGCACAACCCCATTCCTCAGCCTCTGTTTGCACATCAGACACTCCAAGCCTGTAATCATCTTCATGGCCCTTCACTGGACTTGATTCAGTATGTCCACATCCTTCTTGTACCGGGGAGCCCAGAAATGGGCATAGTAAGGTATGAACTACAAGTACTTACTCATATGGTACTCAGCAGAACAGGGGACTACATTATTTCTTCCAGCAGAATTCAGGCTATACAGTTCTTGAACTCACAAGAGCTTTCTGGAGTAAAGGTTTAAAAACATCTAAATAGCACATAAATTATTGATTTTTTTAAGCTATTCTTAACCTACAAGGTTGGATTTCTAATGACCTTACTAAAAAAAAAATAACCCAATCCTGCTCCAGAGCAGCCCAAATTATTTGATGCATTTAAACAAAATACAAGAAGCTTTTGTCATCCATTTCTGAACTCTCATTAGAGAGGAGCAGCCTTCCTACAGCCTCGTTTAAATAAATAAATAAATAAAAGAGCATGGTTTCATCTTGAGGTTGAAGTAATGTAATACAGAATTATGCAAAAGGAACTTTAAATGAGTAAGGCAGAACATTTTCTCTGTATCTATCCTTGCCTTGTGGAAAGGACATTTATGCCAGGTGACTGAATTTGTAGGAAAAAAAAAATTCACAAGGAAGAACAAAAAAAGGACGTATTCATAAGCATTCACCACAAACTGCTGCAGATTAAAACTGTTTGAGACTGACTTAATAAAACAAGGTGAGCACACTGCTGACAGCCACCGAATTGCACTGCCAACATCCCACAGAATTCTTCCCTGTTAGAGTATTTCAATTCAACGAAGTTGCAACTGCAACCACAGAGTTTTGAAGAGGGTAAGCTCAGTTTGACAGGCTATGCAGCATTCCTCTCTACACAAACTTTGCACAATTTAAACATTTCAAGAACACTTCAGCTAAAAGCAGGTATCTAGTGATTGTACTATTGCTGAGTTGGAGGTAAATTTAAATAGATAAAGAATTAAGCTACTATGCCCCCAGAAGATAAGTTGTTTAGTTGACAGCTGAAGGCACAAACCTCACTTTCCTAGAAGAGAAACTCCCAGCAGGGTTTGGTAAACAATCTGGCCATTCAAGACACTCACACAAAAAGTACTTCAGAATTAGGGATTCTTTTAATCTCCAGCTTCAGCAGCTATCAACCAGTTGCACTGACCTACACCACAGGTTTCAAGAGTACTACTTCTGCATGGGTTATTATCAACCCTTAAGCAAGACTGCCACCATCAATACATTATAGATTATGTGGACCCTGTCTGAGAACATACTGCACAAGCAAACATGAACAGGGAGATGAGAAAAACACAGGCCAGAGCTGCACTGAGAATTCAGTCACATCCCAGGAGGACCCATCTGTGCTGCAGATATAGATGCTGCTGTGCCAGCAGGAAGGCACCAGAGACTCACCTAGAGCTAGGCAGACACATTGCACAGAGTGAAGAACACTGCAGCCACACTTACTCTAAAGGCAGGAAGATTACAGATTCAGATCTCAGATCTGGAACAAGGAGTTCTCCGTAATATAATGGATGTTCTAACAGACAAGAAAGAGAGCAAGGAAAAAAACACTGCAGGATACATTTGGTCCATTGCTATTAAATGTCTCCATCACTCCTATGCATAACCACTTCCTGGACACAGCAAATCCAACACTGGGATTGGCACATGAGTTGTGTTTAACTAGCTCTTCTTTCCAGTTTTGATTTTTCTGTAACAGGAGAGTTTCATTATTCATATTTTTTTTTAAAAATTTAACTGAAGTTTAAGACTGAATGCATCACCTCATAACTAGAGGCAGGCTAGGTGTGCACACACTACTGACAGTTTATGGCAGCCCAACACATTTCAGAGTTACAGAGGCTTAAGAAGTTACCACCAAAGGTAAACTGCAAGAACAGTTCACTTCATTTTCTAAATATCATTCTTACTTTTCTTGTCAATATGAGCCCCTAAGGAAAAGTACTGCTAGCCACAATTATTTTTCATCTCCACTTAACTTATTCTATGCGCTTACACTGCCATGGGCAACTTCAAATATAAAGTTTTCAACCTCCTGAATATGAATTATTTAGAAAAGTTCATTTGGCTGTTTCATTTCAACACAGTGTGTACTTAAGTGTGTCTTCTGCCTCTAACCCAATCAATTCCCAATGAAATGCAAGTCTGATTGTGTATTTATCACTTTCTCAATAACCTATAACAACAATGAGGTCAGCACAGAGAAGGATGAAAAGGAGTTTATCTTTCAAGGAAGTTTCTGATCCAGACATTCCTACTCCACTTTCAAGTGCACTTCAGTAGAAATACAACTTCACAAGATGTTAGAAAAGAACTATCCCAAATTTTGGTAGTATGCATTTGTAAGTGGCCTCAATATAGCACACTCATACCAAATACAATTACAGTAATATACATTAGTAGTATAAAGTTAGGTAGCTTGTCTTCCACAGTTGATCTGCCTTAACTCATCCTGCTCTCGCCTGCCATTCCTGCACACACCCATTTTTGCCTAGTCGGCTTTATCATGTAAAAGTTGATCTGTATTTTTCTTAGAACTCCCAATTCCTGCAATCAAGGGAGTCACATTATCATTTAGTAAGTTTCAACAGTTTTACCACCACAGGTGTGAGAAAAGAACTAAAGAGTAGCGCTCTGCTACAAACTAACAGGAGAAAAAGAAATGAAATCAAGAAGCATGTCTTTATAAATTTAAAAGTGACTTCACAGATTCAAGTCTGTTTGGGGAACTAAATATACTCTACTTCCGTAGTACAGATTACAGGTTAGAAGAGAACTTACATTTGACATTCCTATCCTACAAATATTGAAGGAAGGCAAATACACCAATAGGATCATCACATATTTTAATAGTGTAGCAGTCCATTTATCATTTGTAAGGGTTCAGGTCAACACACCATCAGTAAGCTGTCATTGTAAGAGATCACAACCTTCTGACAAAAGAACATTCCAGTGTAAATTATGCTCTTAATGCTTCATGACTGTTTTGCAGAATTAATTATAAACTAGAAGCAGCAAAGACCATGTGGAGCCTTAACTGTGCAAAAGATTTCTCAACATGCCTGCTATATCAGCTTTGTATTTGTCGGAATTAACAAGAACACATCAGTTATTTAAAAAACAATCATCAGAGTAGTAACATCTCAGTCCACACACACAAATATCAAGCAGAAAATTAAATAGGAACCAAAATTTTGAAAGGTCATCTACGAACGTAGCACTTCAGCAGGGAAGGACCACAGCTTTATAGAGAAGCCTAGTCCTACAGCAGAACAAAGCACTACTACTCCACAAAGGAGATACAGGCACCCTGTTACTTGAAGTTTTACATCCACAAGGGGCCTCAAGAACTGAAGGCGGAAGGAAGCAGACTGCCATACCAGATCATGCCACTCACCTCATCTTCCCTGCCCACACTGAAGAAACTAAGGAAGTTTGCTAGATCTAAAGCCTACTGTCAATTTATTCTGACAAAGCAGATCTGCAGACAACAGGCTAGGCTTCCCTAAGTCTAAGTTAATCAAGCTTTACAACCCTTATAAAGGACACACAAGCCTCACATTATACCCTGAAGAAAAAGGTTAAATTACTACTAGAGAATCTTGAAGGTCAAACCTGCCTGCATAGTTTGTTCTTTTTTAAACAGATGGCATCTGACACAACCTCCTCAACATAGTCTGTGTTAAGCAGCCTGATGTTATTTCTCTTCTCAG